TATAGATGTTTTTAAACAAAAATATTTGGTATTCATTTTTCATTTAATATATTGTGAAAATCTTTCCATGGCAAATACTTATTTCTCCATTATATTTAATGATTGATTAGTTCTCCTCAATGTGGATATATCATGATCTACTGAATTTTTTTTTTTTTTTTTGAGACTGTCTCACTCTGTCACCCAGGCAGGCGTGCAGTGGCGCAATCTCAGCTCACTGCAACCTCCACCTCCTCATGCAATCCTCCCACCTCAGCCTCCCAAGGAGCTGGGCTGTAGGCCTGTGCCACCCCACCCAGCTAACATTTGCAGTTTTTATAGAGATGAGGTTTCACCGTGTTGGCCAGGCTAGTCTCAAAGTCTTGGCCTCAAGTGATCCGCCCACCTCAGCCTCCCAAAGTGCTGGTATGACAGGCACGAGCCACAGCTCCCGGCCATACTGGCCTCCACACCCACACCACGTGCACCGCCTCCGCGGCCTCCTCACCCACGCCGGGAGCACTGCCTGTGCAGCCTCCTCCATGTTGCTTCTGCAACCATCCCCTACTCCAAAGGAGAGGCAACTTTGAGCACCTCTCACTAGTGAGTAGCAGGATCCCTTACATGCAAAAGCTGGAAGGACACCAAGTAGATGGCCCAAAAAAGAAAAGAAAAAGTATTTTCTGCCCACCACCCTACTGCTTCTTAGAAGCCACATATATAAGCTACCGTAAGACATGTGCGGAAGAACAGTGCACATGGAAGAAGAAAACATCTGGTGAGCAAATGATTCCAGGACGCGGAAACACAGGGTAAACAGCGTCCAAATTTCAACAATGTTAGGTTCTAATACATTGGCTATTTCACCCGTCTGGTCTTACTGTTTGACTGACTACTAGCACCAGCAGTAACCCATGATTCTGTGATCATCTCCCCATGGAAAAACAATAATTAAGAAATGTTTCTGTGGAATTGGTTTGTATTTGTTTGAATTTGTACTTTACCTCCTCTTCTTGAGACCTTTTCTTATGAGCCATCTTGTATAGCTTATGTAGTTTTCGAGCATCAAATTCTGTAAACTTGGAAACAAAAATCCATAGGTTCCTTTAAAAAAAAAAAAAAAAAACAGTTCTAGTTAATTACTGAATTGGAAAAGCAACTTTTTACTCTCTTCATGGACAGCAAGGTATTACATTTTGCTGTGGTATACTCCCCTAAGCATAGAAATTAAGTTACAGAAATATCATCTCAGGTACTTGCATTAATAATACAGTAAATCCGGACTTAATGTTGTCAATACGTTCCTGGAAACTGCAACTTTAATTGAAACAATATTTTTTCTCTTCAATGTTATAATGAAAGAAAGCTGAAGGAAATGTTATCTGAGGACTTACTGCACATCTTTATATGCTTCTGCCAAAGAGTCTCACAGAGGGATTTAGAGACTAAGGCTCTGCCAATGCCTAAAAGTCCTCTAAATGTGTACCAATGACACCCAGGACTCCAGTCCTCAAAGCCTTCTTCCACCATCCCCACGTTCTGGACTCTGCCACAAATGCATCAGCACCACCATCTCCCAGGCTGTGGCCTCCATTCAGGTGGTCAGCTCTGCACTGCTGCCCCTCCTTCCTCCTAGTTGTCGCCACCACAACCTTTCATTTCTTCCTTAACACTCGCAGTGACTTCTTCCCTCCAATTCCATTGTGTTCACCCTAGCACGGTATTACTGCACAACAGGGGAATGATATGCTAAGTGGGTGTTTAGAAAGAGGAAGCACAGGCAGTCAAGTGAGCCAGAGAAAGGAGTCTCAGGTCTTCTCAAACTCCCCAACAGTTTCACCACAGCTTGCCACCAAGAGGACACCTGACCCGTACAGGCTCCCGAACAAGCAAACCTGCTGGATCAGGTGAAGAGCCATTTACCACCTTCCTTTCTAAGGCTTCCTATAAAGAGCTTCAGTCTTCTTAGCAAACTGCCTTTAAACCCTAAACACTACCCAGTCCCCTCCCCGCCCCACTTGCAAGCCTTTGCTGAAGCCTGAGAACTCTGTTCTCTCAGCAATTCAACTCAGGTCATCTGCGCTCTGTTCAAGGGCACCTGCCTGCCTCTAAGAAGGCCTTCCTTCCCTACTGCTCTTCGAGCACTTCCTTCTCAGCACTTCCACTGTATCTGCTCTTGCATCTGCCGCATCATGATGAACGGTTCCTCCGGAGGCTTACCTTGTACTACCTTTCTGACTTGTAAAGGGCAAGGACCTTATGAACTACGGCTAGCCAGGATCACAGTGCCTGGCACATTTAAAGACGGACCTGTTCACTGGGATGACCTTTTGCTATCTTCTAATCAGGTTAAACTTAAAAGGAAAAAAAGAGGCCCAGATGTTGCTAGGTAAAGGGTTAAATTTAAAAAGAAAAAAAAAAAAAAAGGCCAGATGCCACTAGGTAAAGAAAGAAGTTGGTAACAGTGTTAAGGGGGGAAAAAGTACCATTTCAAAAATTAAATCTTTTAAGTGTGAACCATGCTGTGGACACCATCATGCAGAAGTTTTCTTAAGTCCACTTTTCACTCAGAAACCAATCCTCTGAGATTGGATGTGTTATACAAGGATAATCACATTACCCATTAACTATACAAGTTCAAAGTGACTGTGGTTATGTACAAACAAGCACATGTACCCTCTGGATCTAAAATAAAATAGAAACGAAGTAGTTGTGCTTTATGGAAAGAGATTTAATGTTAAATTGCCTTTTAGAATTTCCAGTCATGGCTGGACATGGAGGCTTACACCTGTATTCCCAGCACTTTCGGAGGCCAGGGTGGGCAGATCACCTTATGTCAGGAGTTCAAGACCAGCCTGGTCAACGTGATGAAACCCCGTCTCTACTAAAAACACAAAAATTATCCGGGCATGGTGGCACATGCCCATAATCCCAGTCACTTGGAAGGCTCAGGCAGGAGAATCGCTTGAACCCAGGAGGCAGAGGGTGCAGTGCAGAGATTGTGCCACTGCACTCCAGCCTTGAGGATTGAGTGATAGAGTGAGAATCTGAATCATATTTAAAAAAAAAAAAAAAAAAAAAAAAGGAAAGAAAGAAATAAAAAACGTTTTCTTAAAATATCCAAAGTGGGTGTGGATATATATCCAGCAATCCCACTATGGGCAACTACCCCAGGGAAAAGAAATCATTCTATGAAAAAGACACTTAATAAACTGACATGTTTATAGCAGCACAATTCACAAATGCAAAAATAAGGAACCAGCTTAAATACCCATGAACAAACAAGTGGATAAAGAAAATGTGGTATATACATACCATGGAATACTACTCAGCCATAAAAGGGAGTACAATAAAATAATGGCATTTGCAGCAATCTGGATGGAGCTGGAGACCATTATTCAAAGTGAAATAACTCAGGAACAGAAAAGCACACACAGGATGCAAAGGCATTAAGAATGATGTAATGGACTCTGGCGGAGGGGCTGTGGGATAACAGACTCCACGTTGGATGCAGTGTGTACCACTCGAGTGATAGGTGCATCACAATCTCAGAAATCACCACTAAAGAGCTTACCCATGGAGCCAAACACCACCTGTTCCCTTAAAACTATTCAAATTAAAAAAAAAAATTTTAAGCGAATATGTAAAGGAACATTTATAAACCATGATGCCTTACAAACTGAAGTTCTAGATTGACTGCTTTAATCCAAATTACTACTTTATTAAGGAAGGAAATGAGAACAGAAAACTCACAGTTCTTGTGGTTCCTTTGTTTCACCACATGTTGGTACAGAGCCAACCCATCAGTTGTATTAGATACAGTAATATCTGAGTATCTGGATATTAACCTGACATGGGTAAACAAGTTAAGACCAGATGATTTCTCTCCATTACAGGCTTAAAGAAAATTTATTTCTGAGAATAGGCCAGCAAATCCACTAACACTGTCTTTCTCTCATAAAATAAATTAATGACATCATCCTATCCCTTCAAAAGGCTGGTCTCAGAGGAATGGCCTATATCATGGAAAGGAAGTTTAAAAATCTGCAGGTATATTGCCAATAAATGAGTTTTGCTGGGAAAAGTGTTTCTTAGATAGCTATGCTACCTTTTATTAAACGAAAACAGAATCCGCTCCCATATTCAGTCAAATCAAACTGGGCAGACAAGGCCTAAGTGGTTACCTCCTCCAGAGTTTTATGTGCTCCTGATCTGAGTAGGCTTTAAGGCACTCGGCTATTCGGTCTCCGATTTTCAGTAGGCAGTTCCGGGTGTGTTCCAGCTGTTCTTGCACGTTGAGCCCCTTGTCAGGTTTGTCCAGCTGTTTAAGTGCCTTTTTCACAGGCCTCATCCTCTCCTTACACTGCAACAGGACAAGAGAGTAAAGATATAAACAATCGGTCGAAAATAAGTCTCATCCTTTACTTACTGTGCCCTCAATGAAAACATGGCCCACCCCATGCCATCCAATTGCTAAAGGAAGGGTGGGTAAAGCTAGTGCGGTGGAACAAGTGTTAAGTATTGAAGTCAGAAAACCCTGAGGGTGCAGTGCCAGCCCCATCGCTCAAAGTTCTGTGATACCTCTTCATCCCTTACTCAACCTCTCTGAATACTACTTCCTCAGCTGCAAGAGGAGCATGATATGCCTACATGCCTATTTTTAAGATCCAGTAAGAAGCAGTATCATAGACCTAACCTGAAATTCTCCCACCATAAACTATCTAAAAATAAAGGATAAAATATTTACAAATCCTTTAGGCTTGAAACAAAGAGAAAGGCTTCTAGATAAAGATGGTAAACAGACAAGAATCTTTTTTCTCTGCCTCCCCAATCCCACTAAAACAATGGTAATGGGGCTGTTGTTAAAATGACCAGCCCACAAAGACAGAGAAAACAAGAGTGAGGACAACAGAACAAAATATTGGCAGCATGGAAAATGACAAGACAGACCTGAGAAAATGAAATCCAAAGCCAGGGGTGAAGAGAGCCAAGAACTAACCTAACTAACATGGCAAAATTCCCCCCAAAGGCCAGGTGTCTTCAGAAGTAGGAATGAGGGCTAAAATGAGGAGCAATTTTAAAACTGCTTAAGAAGTAACAGACACCCAGCCGGGCGCGGTGGCTCAAGCCTGTAATCCCAGCACTTTGGGAGACTGAGGCGGGTGGATCACGAGGTCAAGAGATCAAGACCATCCTGGTCAACATGGTGAAACCCCGTCTCTACTAAAAATACAAAAAAATTAGCTGGGCATGGTGGCACGTGCCTGTAATCCCAGCTACTCAGGAGGCTGAGGCAGGAGAATTGCCTGAGCCCAGGAGGCGGAGGTTGCGGTGAGCCGAGATTGCGCCATTGAACTCCAGCCTGGGTAACAAGAGCAAAACTCCGTCTCAAATAAATAAATAAATAAATAAATAAATAAATAAATAAATAAATAAAATAAAATAAAATAAAATAAAATAAAAAAAAATAAAAAAAAAAAAAAAAAAGAAGTAACAGATACCCAGATTCGTAAGACACACAGATCTCTAATTCCACACAGCAACAAATATACTTATTCTCCAGAAAAGGATAAAAGAACCTCAGAGCTGGACTGCAGAGGCACAGATGCGGGGCAAGCCCACCACACTGAAAACAGGATTATGTGAACACGTGAGCACATTCACACAGGATAAGCCACCACCCAAGTCTTCTGCCTCTCAGATTCCACAATGGAAGAGCCAGGCCTTCTCCCTCCGGAGAGTAAGAGGACTGGGACATTCTTCACAAAATGTGAACACTCCACAGGAAAAACCAATGACGCTGACTATCCCCTGGAAGTTTCCACTAGATCACCCTGTAGTGACAACTTTCAAAGACATTTAGTCCCCGACTCTTAAATATGAGCTGACAACCGAGGATCAGCAGAGCCATCAAGCAAAGTATGTACCATGAACGATGGAAAACAGAGACGCAGAAAGACATTCGAGAGCATGGAGAGAAGATATCTTGAGAATAAATAATGTGAAACAAAGTTGAAGGAATTTCCCAAAAAGTAGAGTAAAAAGCAGAAACGGAAAACTTTCAAAGACAGAATTAGGGACCAATATCCAGAATTCAATATCCACAAATAAGAAATTCCATAAAGGTAAAACTGACAACTTAGAGAAAATTACCACGGTATAATGCAAGAAAATTTCACAGAATGGTGTAGGACATGTTTGTCAGCCACTGAGTATCTGGCACAACGAACTAAGCAAGACACGTGGGTCATGAAATTTTAGAATAATGAAAACTCTACAAACTTCCATCACTTTGTGGTCATTTCCACAGCTATATAACTTACAATCTGTGCCTTTTTCAGTGTTATACCTCAGTTTTCAAAAAGGACACAAATTTAAAAATATACCAAAAACTAAAAGACACCTGTAATGACCATAAAAAATAAAAGATTAGTATTAAAAATGTAAAAAAGGGCCGGGCGCGGTGGCTCAAGCCTGTAATCCCAGCACTTTGGGAGGCCGAGGCGGGTGGATCACGAGGTCAAGAGATCGAGACCATCCTGGTCAACATGGTGAAACCCCGTCTCTACTAAAAATACAAAAAATTAGCTGGGCATGGTGGCGCGTGCCTGTAATCCCAGCTACTCAGGAGGCTGAGGCAGGAGAATTGCCTGAACCCAGGAGGCGGAGGTTGCAGTGAGCCGAGATCGCGCCATTGCACTCCAGCCTGGGTAACACGAGTGAAACTCTGTCTCAAAAAAACAAACAAACAAAAATGTAAAAAAGAATTCCTACAGAAAAAGTAAGAAAGATAAATTTTCAAAATAGGTCAATTTTGAATAACTGAATAGGCAATCACAGGGAACATGAATGACCACTAAAATACAAAAATAAATGTCCAACGGCCTTCAGTGTTTCATAGCTCTCAGATTAGCAAAAATCACCAACTGAGAAATTAACAACTGTTTCTAAGGCTGGTAAGCAATTGGAACTTGAATTCATTGCTAAAATTAATGCAATCTCTACAACTGCTTTCAAGAGTAATTCAGCTATCTAATAAAGTGGCAGATGTGCACACCTATGAATGACCTAGCATTTTTACTCAAGTCATACGCTCTAGAGAAGCTCTCACTTGTGTGGTACAAGAAAATATATGCAGTAATTTCACTGTAGCCTATGTGTAGCAGCAAATATTTGGAAAAATCCTGATGTCCACCAATACGAGAAGGAATAAATTATGGCCGGGCACGGTGGCTCATGCCTGTAATCCCAGCACTTTGGGAGGCCAAGGTGGGTGGATCACCTGAGGTCAGGAGTTTGAGACTAGCCAGACCAACCTGGTGAAACCCTGTCTCTACTAAAAATTTTAAAATTAGCTGGGCTTGGTGGTGTGCACCTGTAATCCCAGCTACTCGAGAGGCTGAGACAGGAGAATCTCTTGAATCCAGGAGGCGGAGGTTGCAGTGAGCCGAAATTGCACCACTGCACTCCAGCCTGAGCAACAGAGTGAGACTTTGTCTCAAAAACAAAACAAAACAAAAAGAACAGAAAAACAAACAAAAGGAAAAAATTGTGAAATATGAAATTTAAATGAGAGCAATTACTATTAACATATATAAATCTCAAAGATGTGACTGCTAAGAGAGTAGCAGCAAGTCACAGGATACCCAAGTGTGCCAATTACAGTTTTAAGACATGGGAATCAATCCTCTATGCTGTTTGTATCTGAGAGGCTACGTAGCACAATGGTTATGGACCCAAGCTCTCACATCAAACTGCCTGGGTCAAAACTGTGTTCTCTGCCTCAGCTGTGTGACATAGAGCAAATCGCTTAACTCTCTTTATTTTTAAATATGTACAATGGAAACAATAACCTACCTCACAGGATTGTTGTGGAAAAACATATATAAAGCACAAGAACAGTAACTGGCTATTATCATCTTTACAGACAGAAGCAGAACTCTAGAACCACACATAAGCGTAAAAATTGAATTTAGAATCACAGTTACTTCTGCGAGGTAAGAAAGAGAGAGAAAGAGCACAAGTTGAGAGGGAGAAACACCAAAGGATTCAGCTTTATATTGTGAGTCTTAAAAAATTCAGATTTGACAAACTTCATGGTATATTTATCAATGCCTATTACCTCCCTGAAATTCCTCTACATCCTTTAAAGATTTCATAATATAAAAACAGGATTAAATGAGTCACTTGTAAAAGCATTTTTTAAATGTCATACTACCACAGAACATTAGATATCATTTTCTCTTACAAGCAGTCAGATAACACTACAAAACAGATTGGTTAGCTGGCTATGTAATTAGCTTATTTATTCAATTTACTCATATATTGATATACTTCTAGCATAAATGGGCTTTACATAAAACATAATACTTGTCCTCAGAGAGCTCACAGACAAAAGAGACTTAAGAAGACTGAGAGAAGTGCAAAGCAAACAGTATCTATATACATACGTAGTTTAGAGAACTCAGAGAAAGAAGTCAAAAGAGGGAAGTTACAGCAAACAGTGTCTATATACATATGCATATAGGTTTACAGAACTCAGAGAAAGAGGCCAAAAGAGAGAGGTTACAGGACAGGGCTAACAGGGTCCCTTGCTATCACAGGACAGGAGTATTTTCAAGTTGGGAAGAAGGCAGCTTTTTCTTTCAGCCTGAATAAACTGTCTGAGTGAACTGAGTTGTGGAAGTACAGGGAGCAGAGACCAGAGAGGTGTGGAAGGGATAGGGACACACTGAAATCTTTACTTGCAGCTCCAGCAAGGGGCAGAGGGGCCTTGAGGACACACTGGCCCCCATCCAATCCTGTGCAAGACCTGGTCCATGCACTCACTCCCCACCGCCTTGTCCTCCCCTCTTCTCCTGTTACCTTTTATTCTTCCTTCAGAACCCAACTCAAACATCACTGTCTTCAACAAGCCCTCCTGGCATCTCCTGACTAGGTCAAATCCCCTTCTCACAGGATCTCGACAGTATGCACTGTCTCCTCCAGGGCCCTGTCACAGGAGCACCAAGTAGTTATCGAACTCCCCTACTCAAATGTACCGTTTATAAGGATTGAAACGGTTATCTATTCAACATGGTAACTCTGGGGGCTGGGACACAGATAACATTCAATAAATACTCGCTCAGTGAATACTTCTCTTTCCCAAATGCCTCTAAGGGCCCTTATAGCCTTTCTTTACTAAGAGCACAAGACATGAAATCCACTCCTTAAACCTCCCCCTCAACAGAAGACATGAAAATCTCTTCCTGCCAGCCTGTTTAAGAACACATGGTCTTCAGATATCGTAAGCAACGTGTTTCCAAAGTAATGTACCACTGCTTAGCTCAACTGAAGCTCTGGCTGGACCTATAAAAGGCAGAGCCACAGCAGGCACCATGGCTGCAGACACTGGCATCGCCCAATTTCGAGACTTACTATGCTGAATGTCTCCTGGTCCAGATCATCATCCTCATCCTCTCCAATAGGGACAGGTTCACTTCCTGCTGTAATATGGACAGGACCCTGAGATCGCTTTGATTTACTCGAAGATTTGGCATCACCACTTTTAGGCTTTTAAAAAAGAGTTACAAGGAGTCATTGTCATTTGTGCAATCCTACTGTGCAATTTGGATTTCTTACCTATGATGTGTTACTACAGTGGGTAAATATGATGGTCTCGGTTTATTTTTTTAAAAGTAAAATAAAATCCTGAAACATCATGAAGACAGACCTATGTGACTGGCAGTTTACGCATACATTATTCCCATTTCCATCTCTAAATATACCCAATTATAACTGCAGTTTCATCAGCGCTAATTTTGAGCTTCTACTCCTTCATTCATAAAATGCACAGAAATGTCATCAAAAGGTTAAGACTGCAAACTGGCAGAACTCTCCTAGAGTATCATATAGCAATTTTTATTAACCGCATACCCTTTGATCTAGGAATTTGTATTAACTAAATTATTATAAATGAAATCTATATAAATCTCAAAATTGGCCAGGCATGGTGGCTCACACCTGTAATCCCAGCACTTTGGGAGGCCAAGGCGGGCAGATCATGAGGTCAGGAGATCGAGACCATCCTGACCAACATGGTGAAACGCCATCTCTACTAAAATACAAAAATTTAGCCAGGTGTGGTGGCACGCACCTGTAGTCCCAGCTACTCGGGGGGCTGAGGCAGGGGAATCACTTGAACCCGGGAGGCGGAGGTTGGAGTGAGCTGAGATCACGCCACTGCACTCCAGCCTGGCAAAAGAACGTCTACCTCCACCAAAAAAAAAAAAAAAAAAAAAATCTCAAAATTATATTGAAGGAAAGGTTGCGGAAGGATATATAAAATGACTTCATGTACATTTTTAAGCATACAGTATGCTTTTTTTATAGTTATATGGATATATACTATAATACGTACTACAAATATAAAAACATGAATAGTAAGGTTTCTAACCCACTTCACAGCAGTGATCATGGGGAGAACAGAGGAAGAGTAATCAAATCAGGGAAAAGGAACAGGGGTAGGTAGTTTCAACAGTATCAGTCACGTTAATGAAATACAAAAGATATCAGCAATCCCCCCAACCCCCAAGCCAAAAAAAAGCCACTTAAAGTAAACATGAAAAAATGTTAACAACAGTTGTGAC